AATTCTTGAGCTTAAAAATAATACAACAAGCAATAAAATACTGGTTTTACACTTGACCCCTTAAATTTTACAAGAAGGTCTTCCCATACGAAAATAAACGTCCAATGTCTATTGCATAACGAAAAAATAGTAAAATCATATAAATAATTATAAATTAAATTGAATTTCGTGTGGTATGTGATAATGATGAACCTTCAGATGGCGCCAACAAGGATGACGGTCTTTTTGAACTAAGGTTTTTTTAATAGAACATAAGGCGGAATTCGGTCATAGAATCTTACTTGAGTTCCCGGGATTAATTAGAATATAACAGATTGCAATTTTGCCCTACCAGGGCTACCCATTTTTATTAACATAGAAGTAACCTCAAACTACTTTCCCACACAAACGACGCTCTACTTCTACCGCAGAGAAATCACCGTTCCTTTTTAACGGACATGAGTGGCAATATTTTTCATTGAGACATCGACCAAATTCCAAACGCAGATGCCGCCACGTCTTTCTACACTTCCAATAACTGCTTGACGAGAATGATAAAATAATTTATCTTTTCATAAAGTACAGAACCACCTATTCTGATACACTGGATACTTAGCGTGTATGCGTTTTTTTTTTCAAGCTTAAACGGGCAAGTTAAGTTTTAAATTAAGATTTGTTTAATAATCACACCTTTTGGATTCAATTGAGAGCAGCGCGCTGTCGCTACGTGAGCTAACGGTCGAAGGTCGCGGTACGAAGAGACTAATGAAACACGCTACGCTTTTCAAACATTTTCGTTTTGATAAATGATCGCTTGCGTTTTAATTCGTTAATAGGCACATGGGCAATGACGAGTATTATTAATATTTGAATTTAAAATTAAAATATACTCCTTTATCTTAGTGGCCATTGTCGTATTAGGAGCCCGCAGGAGTAATTTCCAACACCTTACTTATTTCTGTAAAAAAGCACTCATGCGTTCCAGTTTGAAGAGTGAGATAGCTATAGTGATTATTTTTTTCTCCCTATCTATTCGCTGGTAGCCTAAGAGGCTATGCCGGCTAACCCTGGACTTGTAGGTGAGCTAACAGGCTCAACCTGAGAGAATTTACTAACACTAGCCCTAGCAAGAGTAGTACTTCGCAGAATCTACCACCGGATCGGAATCGCGACCGACTGAGAAGATCCGGCGAGAAACTCAGTGGGCTGTGTATAAAGTGAGACCTTGAGATCTCTCTCTCAAGGTGGGTGCCAGTATTCACGTTGGGATATTTATGGACTTCGGTCCGCTGAACACGGAGTGGATCGTGAGCTTGTGTCCTTCGAGTGCAATAATACAAATTATTAAAACTTGTATCAACCACCATGCTTTGTCTCGTGTCAATCGTATTTGAAGTTCTAGCAGACAAAAGAAACAGAAGACAAGCAAAAGCATCCATTTCTAAAATACAACAATATTGTTAACAAGGTTGAGTTTGAATCAATTTTTTTCACTGTGGCTTTTAATGCATTTCAAATATTTATAAATGGTGTGAATCTCTTCTAATATTACTTGAACGTAACAAAAATCTACAACTACATCTTACACAGATAGTAATCAGGTAACGAAAATTAGGCACATGGCAACCAAACTTATTGAATTACTTCAATCGCGAATAGTCGTAACTCCGAACACGTAGCAATCTAAAAATGCATAACAAATGCTAAAAGAACAGCTAAACATTTTAACACTTATACGAGATATTTAAAAAAGAATGCAATACCTATCGCAAAGCTATAAAAATGTATGTATTGCAATCGCACTGATAATAAATAGCTGATATAAAACCTATTTTAGCTATGTGCGAACGGGTCAACGACCTCAGTGAGCACTGATATTCACCGCTGCATGTGAAAATTATATACGTACGTACTGTGTGCGACGAAGTTTTTTTTTCATCTTTCTTTGTTAATAGCAATTAATTATCCGCGAGCGCCTCGTCTTCGGAATTATTGTCTTGGAGTACAAAAATTCAAAAAGCCTACGTAGCTATAAACGGAATTTGATAATGAGCAATTAATATTATGCGGACGAATTTCAAATTGTGGGTTACTATGCCAAATTTTTTTTTTTGAGGCTAATCGTTAATTTCTGCAATGGTTTTACGTGTAAGCGGATGTCAATGAAGTGAATAGAGCAGTGAAGCTATTTATTAATCTAAAGTAAATTTAATGTTTTTTTTTTTTTTTTTTATTGCTTAGATAGGTGGACGAGCTCACAGCCCACCTGCTGTTAAGTGGTTACTGGAGCCCATAGACATCTACAACGTAAATGCGCCACCCACCTCGAGATATAAGTTCTACGGTCTCAGTATAGTTACAACGGCTACCCCACCCTTCGAACCGAAACGCATTACTGCTTCACGGCGGAAATAGGCGGGGTGGTGGTACCTACCCGTGCGGACTCCCAAGAGGTCCTACCACCAGTAAATTGCTTCTAAAACTGCTATGTAAATTGCTTCTAAAATCTTATTAGCATCAACATTATTGGTTGGTTATAAAACGCTATCCGCAGTGTACCATCCTGTATAGTTCCGCCGCGAGGTGATCACGCGTTTTAACGCGACTTAATTTTTCAAAGTTGATCTTGTCTTTAGACTTTGTTAGAGAACAGAATAGGTCGTCCATGAGCTGGTCTGGCCAATCTACACTAATAAATAAAGAAGGAAAACATCGTTCTGCAGTTTCAAACACCTTTACTTATAAAGATATTCAATATCAAGTCCGAATTCTGCGAATTTCAAGAGATAATTTTTCAAATTAAAGTCATAACTTTAATCATCCGTTTGTTCACCTTAATAAAAATAAAAAAGACAAGTAACTCGCACGAATCCATATGAAAATGTTTTTGCATAAAATAGATCCGACCTTATGCTTCTGATATTGCGAATTATTATTCAGACTAATATTAAATATATTTTGTCATTATTTTTTATATTTCATTAGATATGATTTGCCTATACAAAACACGTTCACAAAACATTCGCTTTTTACCTATAGGTTACCTATACCTTTATGTGTCTGTTAAGGTGTTTACAGGGTGGTGGGTGAAAGACGAAATCACCGCGTACCTAGTGTCAAGTGGTTACCAATGAACATAGGCTTGAGGCATGAGGTAAAGTCCTGAATGGATAATCCAAATATTTTAAAATTATGCAAGTTGTTAATTGATTCATTTAATCAACATTAATATTGTTTTATTCTCTATCAAACTAGATCGCATTTATTGTGCGCCACCTGGCGTACTCTAATGGTACTATTATAGAAACTCACCATGAACCTTGCCATGAGCTACAAAAGTAACTTTAAAATTTCAGTTCACAAACAAAGATATCAACAGATTTTCTCTAATTACAATTAAATTATATCTTAAATCAAAATTTCTGATATTATTATAATATAGATATTTATTTTGTTTAAATAAAAAATATTAAGATCACCAGTTCCGCAGGGATGAAATAGGGTTTTCTGTATAGATACAGAATAGGAAATTCTGTACCTACAAAGACAGTTCTTCTACTACTGTTTTCTACAAACACTCGACGTGGCATGTAATACTCTTACGGGATTAAAGATTCCAACTTTAGATAAAGTTATAAAGTATGTCCATGGGCAGGTGTAGCTGTTTGCCAATCTATGGCATCAGCTAATTTGTTGGTCTGTGTACTGATTACAGACACGGCCGCCATACCACCAACCATACCAGACATAATCTACTATAATGCAAATTAAAAAAAATCCATATCCATCATATATTTTTAACTGTTCATGAAGTTTAATTTGTAATTTTTATTCATATTTATTTTCAAATAAGTTTTGTTTAAATGTTTTTCTTTTTTCTAAATTTTAATCTACTCACAGTCATTTTTTTTTAATAAAATTCTCAGCATACTGTCGATAGTGTAGTTCTTTAAAGTACACTACCACACTATATGTACACACATATTTTGAATATCTTCAAAATAAAAGCCTTTAAATTGCCCTATATTTTTATTACATTAATAAAGGTAATTCAAAGCTTTCATTATCATATTACATTAATGTGTATGAATAATTAATACACAAACACTATAACCAGGTATTCCATGACGCACAATCTATCTTGCCCACACATGTCAAAGCAATGCATTAAGATGCAACAGTCCACTTTTAAACCTGCCATTAGTATGCAAATGTGCAAATGTGCTTCAAAAGCATAATTAGTGTAAACATTGCTTTATTCTCACACATTGATACATAACAATGTTATGTGTACGAACACATGGTTAAATACTAGTACTCATATAAAGTAATTGCATATGGTCATAGCAAATCTACTGTCTTCATTACATGAAACTTAGATACACATTTCTAACAGAGCACACTCCACTATCTGATAGTTACTATGTAAACAGTTGGAGTAATCATATAGAACATAATACCTATGTATAAGTTATAGGTTATGTTGGTTGTTGCCATGCCAGATTTTAACAGTTTTGAACAAAAACATTTCTGGTTCGTTTATTATTTGTTTTTCGCACAATTTTAAATATTATTGTGTTATTTTGGAAAAAAATTACAAGGCCAAGATTCATGATCGGCGAATGAGTACTCTTATAGGTGTAAGCTCGAGGCCTTGTAACCTAAGACTATTCAAATAGCTTTTCAAGACACACTCCTACATAATTTAATGTAAATGTATTTTTTTACAAATGCCCTTCTCTTCTATAACCTGAAACATCGTTACATTATCGGGAGAATTTACGGATGTGTTTTTATAGGTTATAATGAGTGCCCTTGAGAGAGCCGAGAGGAACATCACATATCGAAGTAAATTGGATTGTTTCACTTATGACATGACTAAAAGATATATGAAATAAATGAAATAATTTTAGAAGCTTAAACTTCAGTTTCGGAACGGAAAGTACTCACCTTCAACTGAGGCTAGCACACAGAACTCCAACGTAACATTAACTTTTACAGACACTACACAAAAAGGATACAGGCTAAGTCCAGGTTGAATCCGTGCTTGGTGTAGCGTATCCTGCGCTTGCTGACCATATTCTTTATCGGGTTGGTCATCTTGATATTTGACATGGAGTTTGCCATGGCTGTAAAGCGATTCACTGGCCTGGGCAGCAGCTCCGCCGCCGCGCCCTTAGCGGGCCCAACCACTCCCGGCACCGACCGCTTTTCTGGGATCTTCCGCTCTCGGCGCCGGCAGCTCACGCAAACACCCATAAAACGAGTCGAGGTGCTTGGAGCGTGCCCCTCTCATCGGGCCGGCGGCGGAGCGCGAGCGGTGCCCCCGGGCGAGCCCGCGCTCGCCATCCGCGCCCCGCGAGGACCTCCACGCCGCCGCCGGATTGAAGCACCACCACGGAATCGCACTCTACGCACTATATCACCATAGCTCCTAGCCCGTGCGACGACGCTTTTTCTTTTTGATTTATATAAAAATTATCTAGCGCGAATGGCGTCCATCCTGCGATTGCACTGCACTAGAACACGGTCGAGGCGAAACAACTGCACGAGAAATTAAGATGGTTCTGCTGACGGCAGACATCTATATAGCATCTCTTTCATTCGTTCACGTTGTGTATATGTACGACCGAGATGCCACACAACCTTATTTTCTGGTAGTGGTTTCCTAGCTAGCAAAGCTCTTTGTTCCAAAAAGTTTTTGTTTTGTGTCCCAAGGTGACGCTAGTTCTACGTTGGAAACAAGCGCCGAATTCAAATTCTAGCTAATACTCAATGTTTGTAATTTTAATATACATTTTTTATTTTAAAATTTCTTATAATTTTTCATCATGGTTTGGGTTTTTCAGCATTCATTATCAGCATTTACGAAGAAAAAATTTATCTTTGATCTTCTAATTTATAGATGGCGCTTTAACCGATTTCTTATCTGTGATACTTAGCGGGAGAATTTAAATATGCTGATGGTAATATTCGATTTGTAATATCTATGTCATTATTAATTATGTAGTAAATTACGCACTGCGTGTTAATTTACTGTTTGAAGTATACGCCTACTTCAAGTACCTTCGTGTGAGTTTAACAATTAAACACGAAACACAAATCTTTCGTCTTATTTTTTATCATGTATGTACATTACTTACCAGCGATATTCCTATTGAAAATGAAAATAACACTTTACACTATTAAAAAATAGGTATATTTAAATACCTTCCTTTTTAAGTCATCGCAAATGGTTCGCGGTATATACCATTTTCGATGTTTCACTGAGATTTTCACCGTTTCACTGACAAACCACAAGTTGCGCTAATCAAATAGCACGAATAAGTTAGAAGAAATGCGTAAGAAATACAAAATTATTAAAAAACGATTTCATATTACATAGCAAGATAAAAATTGTATCAAGTGATAAAACAGTACCTCTTTCTTAGAAATCGTACCCAGCTCTGGGAACATTGTAATATGAATCGGTCTCCGCGTTTATGAATATAACGTGCAATGTGCAATTCTTATTAGCGTTTGAAAAATATAAGCAGATAAGTACATTTATCATGTTAGTTATAACTTGTGTTTGTTAACACGATACTATATTACTATTTTAGTTATTTATTTTCTATTCTCGTACTATTAACACAATGGATTATTATTGCGAGAGATAGAGATAAGTGTAGGTATAACTAATAAATTCAGTTCATAAGTTCAGCCATAAGTTCTGTTGCAGATGAAAATGCATTTTATTTAATGAAGTATTGTAATATTATTCTTATGTAATATTATTATCAAAGTCTCCGTAAAAAAAAAAAAAAATTCTATTCAAAATCGTCACCTTTGGCTTTTTTAAAGGCCTTTAATCTGTTTGGCTACGAATCTATGCATTTACGTACTGTTTCCAAAGGTAAATTTCGGCACTGCTTGCTCCAAAGATTTTTTAAGATACTCAATGTCGCCGTGTCTTTTAGAGCAGGCCATGTGCTCTAAAACTGACCATAATTTTAAGTCTAAAGGGTTGAGGTCTGGGATAAATGAAGGCCAGTCTTCAGCTCTTATAAATTCCGGAACGTTGCTTTCAAGCCAGACTAGTTATTTCTATTGAGGAGGCTTTTATCGAAAGACAAGCTGGGGAAAAGCACCAATCGTTATTAAGACCTAATGACAACTAAGGAAAATGAACCATTTTAAACTCAGCAATAAATGCTCCTTTTATTTTGTTGTATATATCACTTACTTAGTATATTTTTGCTATTAAAATAAACAACATGAGATATGAATTCTAAGAACTCACTATAGTTACAACGGCTGCCCCGCCTTTCATGCCGAAACGCATTACTGCTTTACGGCAGTAATAGACAGGGCGGTGATATCTACCCGTGCGGACTCACAAGACGTCCTACCACCAGTAAACCACTAGTTTGGAAAATGGTTCTTAGTGACCGACAGCCGTTTGCTGTACCAATATGCGACATTCTTTATTTACCCACCTTACCACGACTATTCGTCGTGATTATTAGGAAATGATTATTAGGAACCATAGCTTTAATCATTATCATATTAGGTACACAGCATTCCGAGTTCTAGCTGTTACAACACCCGATTATATAATAGTTTATTCAACGCCTAAAACAGTAGGCATCCAAGGTTGACTAGTTACAAGGCTTCCTGGTCAAGTTTACGCTTTTCTATTCAAAGAAACAACGTCCTGTAAGTCGTAACTGACGTTTTGAAATACATTTTGAGGACTTATAAACTTGTACTTTCACTACTATCTAAATAAGAAAAAATAAAAAAGATGACAGACAAGACAATTAGATGTTTTTTTTTAAAACACCTCGCGGTCTCGACCCAATAAAATTATTATTTCCTATGTACTTAATTAATCTCGAAACTAATCGACGAATTGTCACTCTACTCTCTTTCATGTCAAAACACCAGTGTTGGACGAAATCAAAAACAAAAAGAACTATTGTTTTTTTTAGTATTTATACTAACAATTCATATTATATAAATAGTAGGTACACCGCAACGTACCTGCTATATTTTTATATTTTCTAGAATTACTGTAAATTAAGCGGTTGTCTGGAAGAGATCGCTTTTAGCGATTAGACCACCTATTGTACATATGTATCTGCTTTTTGAATGATTTTTGAATGTAAATTGTGGTTTGCAAAATCTCTCTCTCTCTCTCTCTCTCTCTCTCTCTCTCTCTCTCTCTCTCTCTCTC